TGGTGCCTTGAATAATAACTGTGAAAAACCTTCTGCTACCTAAAAATTTGCAGATTAATAAAGAACTGCTCGTAACAATATTGATCGTATTAGATTATAATATATATATAGATGTGATGAGGTCAGAGAGAGCTTCTCGAGAAGGTATATTTTGTATTATGTAATAATAGGTAGCTTGTATAACTTGTGTAACTTGTATAACTTAAATTTATATGGCTAGTGTGGCTTGTGGCTAGTGGCAAGACTGAAGTGTGTGACATATTACGCCAATTGTCAAATGATCTGCCTGACCCATGGTACCTAGGAGCAGGTAAATTGACTATGATCTCATAATGATGATAGTAATATGCACTTACTTCATATCAATTGATTTTTTTTATTTGCGCGCTCTTGAATATTTTTGTTTTCTCTTGAATACCTTTTGTTCGCTCTTGAATATTTTTGTTCATTCTTAACTATTTCATATAAAAGTATAAGTTTATTAAGTCTATTATAGAATATACTGTGATAATATATAAAAGAAGTTTACAATAAAGTTTTTAAAAGTTACATATACATACGGTTATGAAAAGTGCGGAAAATAACCTGAAGGTAAAAACCTAGTTTTATGATAAATTAATTATTAGGAAGAACCTTAATTTACAATCGCAGTAAATTTTATTAGAAGCAACTTCTCGCCTTTTTTTCACATAAATTAGTGATTATTAGCTTATATAAAATTATTGAATTTAAATTTATTAAAATTCCTTTAAATAAAGCTTTTTGAGGCCTTTTTTTTTCGCGTAAAATTGCTTGTGTAAAAATTATTAATTTAAATTTTGAGACCTCAATAAAAAAGAACAGCAATTTATTTTATTTGCGTCTTATTTTCTTTGTAGTAATTTTGAATAATTAATTTATAATGATAATCAATTTATCAGTTTATCAATGACTTCATACTTATAGCATTAATTGAGAACTGGTCTAGAAAAATGATAGCTTGGAAATTTTTATAACGTTATAAAAGTCTATTTAATAAATAGACTTTTATGATATTATAAGAATTTCTAAACTATCATTTTTCTTTTTTAATTATTAATGATTTCATGATTACTAATTAGCTAATAGTTATTTTTTTTTATTATTTTAGATATTTTTGTGAAATGACTTACTAGGAATTTTAAAATCTGTTCTTCCTCAACATTATACTTATCAAATACAAAATTTAACTGATTTACCACTGCATCGAATACTAAAAGATTTCGAAGTTGCAAATTTTGAACTAAACATATTCGTGAATATTGATAGTGAAGAAGGTGCATGTGAGTAGTTTATGGAGTATCAGTTCTGGTTAAAGACAACTATACCTCAAACAAGGGATTTTGAGGTTAAAGGAAACTGAGTCATTTTTCATAAACAAAGACATTGCATCCATAGCAATGAAGTAAAAAAAAAACAAAGAAATTGTGAATTGAAGCATTTTCAGTCATCTCAGGCTTGAAACATCTTTTGCCCTGCAACTATTCACTTGCAGTTAGAGCATCAGTACCTTATATTGAGCTACTTATTAGAAGTAAATATTAAGTTCATACACAATCATGTTATCAACACAGCTGAATCTCTAAGTTTTCGACTAATTAAGGAAGAAGTTCGTAACAAATTGTTAGATCTTTTCAAAGATGGTCACTCACCCTCCTCAGCATTATATGCACTTGAAGATGATCTCCATCTTGGTGCTGAAGATAAACAAGAATTGGTAGAATTACTCATGAACTGAGCAACTAATCCAAATTATGATTCTGTTTATCATATTTTTCGACAATATCACAATGCTACGCTTGGTGGCCGTAATAGAAAGTCAATGTTTGAGTGATTAGAATTAATAGTAGAAGATTATAATAGTTCAGGTTATAATTTTTAATTTATTTTATTTATTTTTTATTTTATTTTTTATTCTTATTTTTTTAAAAAATTAATATGTTATATACTTTAAATATATGTACTGTATAATTATTAGAGCAAGATAAAGCTACTTTACAAAAATATAATACAAGTTCTGAAAATACATTTATTTTATGTATAGTAACTAATTTGATAGCACATATGCACGAAAAGGTTTTTCAGGCTAGTGAAATTTGTTACATGGATGCGTCAGCATCATTCGATCTTTTAAACACTTTGATTACTATTTTCTATACCAGTTGTGTAGTTGGAGCCCTCCCTCTAGGTTTATTTATTACTTCTGATGTATCAGAGAGTATGTTAGAAAAGGCAATAGACTTATTAAAAACAATACTTTCACCATATACTTTTTTTGAGCATGAGCTAGATGTAGGGCTAATTGTTTTTCTTACTAATGATTCAAGCATAGAACGTAATGCTTTGAAACTTTGTTGGCCACGAGGTATTTTGCCTTTTGTTTTTTAATTGACTAATTATCTTTGTTTTATACTAATGTTCAGAATTAAATTGCAAGAGTATTATATTAGACTATTTGTAATTTACTAAGTTTATTGATAAGAGAAAAGTTTACTTTGTCAAACGCCTATTTATTTTCTAAATCTGTTATTTTCAGATTTTACTTTAATTAATAAATTTAATTAATTCTTGAAATTGTTATTAAATTATTATATGCTTAAATATATTTATTTCATTTTTATTCACATTATATTAGGTACACTTCTTATAATTTAAATTAATAGTTTATTTAATTAGAACTTACTACAGATATCTGTCTTTTGTGTATATTTCACGTCCTACAAGTATTCTGGAGGTAGTTATACGATTCGAAGTACCAAATTAAAAAGGAAGACCAAGCGCTCATAATAAATAAGATAAAAAAAATTCTTTACGCATTATCTGGCTCTGAAATGAATAAGCATTATGAGGAATTCAAACAAGAATTTTATAATTATTCACTTTTACAAAAGCACTTTGAACATTTGTAGAAGCGATGTTATTTTTAGGCTCTATCATTTCATATTAGTTTACCTATATGTGAAAACAATACAAATAATTATATAGAACAAAGTTTTGGTATCTTAAAAGATATCATTTTTGCAAGAATACAGGTGTATAATGTTATATAGATGTTTTAGTTTATAACATCAAGTATGGAGAGGTTTTACGAGTGACAGCTTCTTGGAGTTGCTCATAAATATCTTGGTCACTATCACATTGCAAAACGTTTCCTATGTCCTGATTGAGAAACGGTTGATTTGAATTTTATTAAAAGAACAAATGTAGAAAACGAATTCTTGGTGAAAAGCATAAAACAGAATAATCTTTAATATATCGTAAATAGTGGGATCAGAGCGTGCACTAGCCTAACTGGAACTTCTGATGCACTATACAAATATCAGAGTACTGTCATGATTAAATATCATATTGCTATGTTTAATTTTATACCTTCATTGACACCTGAGGATTGTATAATATACTCATATATCGCACTCAGTAAGTGATATAATATAGCTATATAATTTATGTATATAAATTTGTAACCTACATAGTTCTATGTAGTTTATGTTTGATTTATTGATCAAAAATTTGTCAATTTAAATAATATATTTAGCGTTAGAGATAATTCTGTAATTCTAATTATGGAGTATTTTGCTGATTATATAATACGTAGAATTTTCTTGTATTGCAGAATATGTATAACATTATTGGAGCAAATTTTACATATTAAACCTTTTTTTTTTAGACTATTTTTCTGAGGATCTTTCATTTTATGCTTTATTATGATCTGGGCTCTTCTTGCAAGATCAAAAATTCATAACAGCAAGCAATGCTTCTAATAATGATTTCAATGAAGCTACTGAACAGAGGTCTTATTCTAGAATTCTCATTACTTGAATGTTTTATAATAATTTACTAGCACACTAAATTAAATATTGGATTATTTTTTTTAGAGAATTGGATAAAGAAAATGATATCAATAATAATATCTTTTTTACATTTTTAGATAAAATTAAAGCAGTTTATGAAAATTCTGGCTTTCACTTACGTGTTATGCTCAACAAATTTGCAGAATGATATCATCAAGCAAAATCGAAATCTATTTCTCAACTTGTTTCATTTTTTTATAACTTTAATCACAATTCAGATCAGACAACTCGTGTTAAAAGTGGTTCTATGATTTGTGTCTAAGTGAAATCTATTAAAAGGTGAAAGCTGGAAAGACCTAGTGGTAGAAAGCGAAAATTACCTAATGCTAGTAAAGAAAAAGAAAATTCTGATTCTCATTCTATTCCTTCCCAAAAGAAAAAAAAAATGGGTAAAAAGAATCATAATTTAAGCAAGCATATAATGACGAATCAACCAAATTGAAAGTTAGTTTTATTCATTATATATGTATTAACTATAGAGTGATATATGATTAAATATTAAATTTCAACAAAATTGCTGCATTATAAATTGTTATGATAATTACAAAGTATGTTTTTTATTTTTTATTCATTATACATGTTATATTTATTTCTACATTTCTTGAATATAAAGGAGATTCAGGTAATATGGCATACTTGGATTTTTTTTAAATACTATGATACACATATTATTCACATGTTTAATTTTCAAACCTATAGATTTCAAAAGTTTTTTTTTTTATTCGAATTTTTTTGATAGTAAATCAAATGTTAATTTATTTCACTAAATTTTGTAAGTAAATATACTTTTTCTCTCTTAAGTGTACCATAATACCTGACTCTCTATTAAAAAGAAACAATGCATAAATTTAAATATGTGAATTTATAGTTTACAACGATTAGAGCATTATTTTATAGTACTTATTTTCTAATAGTATTTAATAAAAAGCACCAGCTAATCAGAGGTGCATCAGGTTGATTGATGATCCAAATCAATATATTCAGCATAACCTGTTACACATTTTGGACATGCTAGCTAGTGTAGTACAAGTCAGATGTTGCTTAAGTAGTACAGAGTACAGGTATATAGTACTAAGTTAAAAATAGATTAAGTTGTACTATA